ATTTCCTTTTCCCCCGTGTTTTCTCATGGCTTTCCAACCCCCTCGAGGTTTGGTTACGGCGCTCCAAAGGCAAAACTTACCACCGCAGCCTTCGCCCACGGCATCCCATCATCATGGCATCGTGTACGGCAACAACATGGCCGGGAACCCGTGCGGGGCCCTGTCCGGGCCTTCCTACGGATGCTCTTCCACGGCATCGGCACCGCCAGCTACACATCCGACTCCCTGTCAGACCTACGGCCAACCTATTCCCCGTTACCCACCACACCCCGGCCCTCGTCCACCCTCCTTTGGCGGCTCTCTCCCCCCCCCTCCCGGCGGCAACCCCTTTCCCCCCCCTCCCCCCGGCCCCTTCTCCCGCCCTCCCCCTTCCCCCTCCCCCTCCACCGCCTCGCAATCCAAACCTCCCCCGGCCCTTCGACCCATCCACTCAGTCCCAACACCAACCGAGTTCAACCCTGGCGACGATCACTACGACACCACCCGCGTCGCGGGGTACGACCTGCCCAAGGTCATAACGCACACCGCGTTTACTCGGCAAATGGGCATCGAGGGACAAGACATCGCTCGCGTCCCCCTCCTCCACTTCATGCACGAACAGTGGAACAGTTGGTGGTTGCGTCACCTCGCCCACGGAGGCGAAGTCCGCATCGTTGTCGCAAAGTCGATGCCGGAATCAGTGTTTGCTGCTGGACTACTCAGCCAAATCCGACAACGGCACCTCGACCTGGACGCCCTCGCCCTCCATGTAGCCACGCAGGAGGGCGCCTCGACCACCAAACCAGCAGCCATGAAGCTACTCACCAGCAAGATCTTCGACTTCCTCATCTCCCTCCGACCCACCACTACGGCCGACCCGGCCTCCGCGGCCACCATACTCCAGCTTCAGCAACAGCTTGCTGACGCACACAACCAACTCGCCCAGCAGGCTTCATCCCCCCCTCTCCCCCCCACACCCACCTCATCCAACAAACGCCCAGCCAATCCATCTCAGGCCTCCCTCCTGGACTTCGGCATGAAGCGACCACGGTTGACTACACCTGACACATCACCGCAGGACGGATCCCCCGCTCTACCCCTGCCCACTCGCATTGCAGACGACTCCCAACCCCCCCCGGCTCCCCCCACCCACGGCGGCAACCCTCCAGCCCCCTCCACCCACGGCGGCACCCCGACCCCTCCCCCCCTCCCCTCCCCACCCACTTGGAAGGAGCCCCGCGACTTGCTCCAACCACCTCCCCACGTTTGCCAATGGCTCACCAGCAACTTCCCACCCGACATTTCCGACACCAAAGTCCAGCGATGGATCACCTCTCAGAAAACCAGCAAAGAGAGCAAGCAAGTCCTAAAAAGCTGGTCCAACGACTGCGCAAAATGGGCAACCACACTGGACTCCGACACCAGAGCCCAACTCGAACGAGCCGCTGTGCTATGGGGCATCCCGGTGCGAACCCTATCAAAACTGGGGTCATCGGCCTTGGGCCGCATCCTGGCCGCTGCGAGTCACTTCTACCAGTGACTCTCAACAGCACACCGACAACGACGCACAGCCAGGCAGCACAAATTTTGGCAACACCACTGCTGCCAACTTCTCACTGTCCTCCGTTTCACTCTTCGGTTCTTCCCAACCGATGACGTCACCGCACGTCATTCTTGCTCCTGGCTACTCGCACAGCTTCAGCTACTTGACGTCTGCCATCTCTCCTGTGGTTCCGGCAGACTGAAAGCCCTGCTTACTCGACTTGGCCTGGACAACCCTGCTTCCGATTTCTCTTCTCAGCTTGTCCCTTCAGCGGTTTATCTGAGATTCACCAGCCATCCAAAGTGGCAGGCCTTTTTCTACCTCGGAGCCACTCGCGCCTCCCTCATGGCACGGGGCCGCAGCCAACTTCGCAAACTACTCCAAGTTCAGCGACATCATCTGGTCAATGCCGAACTGGCAGTCCGGTGGTGGGCACATTTTGACTTTTTCCACCACTACACCTCGGTGCCCATTCACACTGTCGTTCCGGCAACGGACCTATTTGCCACTGAACAGTTCTACATCCAGGAACTGCAACCGTCTCTCAATTTTGGCTTCATCGAGAAACATTTCCGGCCACGCACGGGCTTCATACGCCAATTGGACTTCTCCCAATCCCGGCACATGGGCTTCGCCACCATCTGGCGAAAACGCCGCCGACTACGACTACCCATCGCCCTACAACAGGCCTTCCTGGCCAAACGCGTGGACAACCGCCTGGATTTGTGGCGATTTTTGGGCGATCTTGGCAGCAACACTCTACGACGATTTGATGCCATCCGTTACATACGGAGCAGAGACTTCCCACCCGCCGCTCTCTATGTCCTTCATCGCATAGCCACACACCTGCCTGAACCACACCACCAGGCATGCCTTTCCGCCATTCGATCCAGTTTACGATTCCGGGGCCTCATTCCACCTGGCCCCTCCAGACCGATGCTTGCACCCTTCCTCGCCTGGCGACTACTGCTAACCTGGTACCGACAACGACAACCACACTCCTCTACCACACACCTCACAGTGGACACACTTGACACCTCTGCCATCACCCGCGTCTACAACGGACGCCGTCGCCGACACAAACCCACACAACGCACCCTGTGGCTCGACGACATCCCCGAGATCATTCAGGCCACCCTTGACATGCAGATCTTCTCTGTCGGCCTTCGTTCATTCAGGCAAACACGTGGGGCACCGATGGGATCCCCCGCGTCCCCAGCTCTCTGTTTGATGGTGATCGCGGTCGCCGAACAATGTTGGACCAACACTCACATCACATCGGGACTTCGCTCCGTTGAAGATACTCTCCTACTCCGCTACGTGGACAACAGACTCGTGATCGCAACCCCCAGGTGGCTCTCGACTCCGGCAGCCAACATACTGTGCGACGAACACTTCTATGGAGGAGACATCTTCCTGGACACAGAAGCCGCCCTGGACTTCTTGGGGTTCCGACTGAACCTCACAAGCAGCACCATCTCCTTCATCCCCTCGCATGAGAAGCACAACATGCTCTCCGTCAAGTCAGCCGCACCACTGATGCATAAGGAATCTGGATGTTATTCCGGACGCACGCTGATCAACCGAGTTTCCTTTCCTGAGTTTCAGCGAGGTCAGGGTCTTGCAATGTTGAAGAGGTTGCACCTCCAACACGGTTTCACCTTACAAAGAGAAGAAAAACCGTCCTTTGCGGAACCACACTGGTTTTCTTCTCTGCCTTTGCATCCTGACAGATTTGACCTGATTTTCGCGCCGCAGCTGTTTGACTGTTTGACCAAAATCCGTTACGAGCATGGATACCAACACAGCACGCCAGCTGCTCCAAGACTTCGAACTCATCCTTGGCATTGCCCAACAAGGCATCGCCACCATCCGCGAGTTCCCTGAGAGTCCGCCTGCCGAACCTGATTTGGCACCGGAGGCCACGCTCAACCCCGCCATTGAGGACCTGACCAACTCACCACCAACACCCCTCCTGGCCCCCCTCGAGGACCTCTTTGAGCCACCTCCTGATGCTCCAGATGAACACCTTCCCACTGATCATGACGAACAATTCCCTGATCATTGGGCTCCGCCCACCCCTCCTCCGTCTTCTCCCGGCGAAAAACGAGCTCGCCGCGCACGTGATTTGGCCTCCTCACGATCTACGGCATCCAAAACCTGCTCGTGGACCAAGCGAAGCTACCACATCGACCAGGACTGATGCCTCTACTGAGGCCGAACCTGAAGCCTCGCAGCCTTGGACTGAGGGAGAGATTGAACTCCTCCGTTCCCTTAAGACCAATTCCAAAGCCAAGTATGTGTGGTCAGTCATCGCCACAAGACTTTCTCGCACAATTGATGCTTGCAAGACTCAATGGGCCTTGCACAAGTGATGTCGCCCCAGTTGGGGCTCCGTGTGTGTGAAGCGTCCTGGAGCACGGACGGAAATTCCACATTGCAGGGGAGTGCGGCATGACTGAGGGACCGCACTCAACGAAGCTACCTCAGTCATGGGATATCGGATCTGATCAATCCGACGTACCTGCCTATTTCCTGAACCTCTTTCCTGATTCCTTTTGCGGTTTCTGTTTTTTGCTGTTGCTTCCTGTTCGGTGTCGATGTTGTGACCTGTTGATTTGCATTTGCATTCGAGCATTTTTACTGACTGCGGTTTTCATCTCGGCTAGTGAAGCCTCTCGAGATAAGTGTGTGTGTGTGTGTGTGTGTGTGTGTGTGTGTGTGTGTGTGTGTGTGTGTGTGTGTGTGTGTGTGTGTGTGTGTGTGTGTGTGTGTGTGTGTGTGTGTGTGTGTGTGTGTGTGTGTGTGTGTGTGTGTGTGTGTGTGTGTGTGTGTGTGTGTGTGTGTGTGTGTGTGTGTGTGTGTGTGTGTGTGTGTGTGTGTGTGTGTGTGTGTGTGTGTGTGTGTGTGTGTGTGTGTGTGTGTGTGTGTGTGTGTGTGTGTGTGTGTGTGTGTGTGTGTGTGTGTGTGTGTGTGTGTGTGTGTGTGTGTGTGTGTAGTTGTTTGGTGTGTGTGTGTAGTTGTTTGGTGTGTGTTTGTGAGTGTGTGTAGATTCCCCGCCAACAAAACACAAAAATCAACATAACTTTATTTCGGGGGGGGGGGTTATTAATCAGTGACGGCCCACAAAAAATAACTTTAATCGGGGGAGGTTGTTTAATCATAGGTAGACATTACACCCTTTTGGCATCCGTGTGGCCGCAGGATATCCAGAAAAGACTACCAGGCAAATGTTCAGTCGTGCAGTCAAACTTCATCCGTTGCATGCAATACCGGCAAGCATGAAGATCTTCCTCCCCACTTGATCCAATCATTCCCAAATTGCCCAATCCTAAACATGGGTGTCATACATGTGGCCGTGTCATGGTGTCACTACTACCTTCCTAGCGGTTGCCCGCCCCAGTCCATGCCATCCTTTGCCACGGTGTTTCGATTGCCGTCGGCCATACGCCGGCCATCGCCCGAACAGTGCCCTTGCCTTTGAGCTGGATGAAGCTTTTCGCCTCCCGAATCGCAAGGAGCTGCTGCTGAGCGCACATTGCGCCAACCCCAAGTAGGAAAGACACAAAGACAGTGCGGGACAGCCTTAAAAGGAGGAAAACAAAATCGAAAGAACCGCTTTCCGATCTCAAAAGGCAATTTCGAATCGAGACCCTCCATTTGCTTAAGTCCCCTGGCAAAAGTATTAATAATAATATTTTCAGTAGTCATAGATTCCCTTGCAAACCAACAGGGGAAGAAAAACAATATTCTTAACCAAATGGAAGAAACCTTTCAAGAAACTGGCATCTACAGGGCGCACAGGTATAGATCCTTTCCGACGCTTCGTGTCCCAAAGGCCAGTTGGTGATGTTCAACATTCGCACTTGCTGTCTGAACGTTTCGAATCCCCTCCTTTCAAGTTGCCTTTCAATGACTCTCATGAATAATATCAACCTGTGGCCGCCTGTGCAAAACGTAAACCTCAAACTAAGGCTTGGACTGATTCTAGGGTTGGCAATTACAAGCAGACCAATCCTTGTTCAGATGCTAACATGCTAAAACTGTACTCCCACGTAGCAACTGCTAAACTCCTACGCTCAAGTTGCTCCACCGCTAGGGCGCAAAGCTCACAGCTGCTTGGCCTGGTCTTCTTCTTCTTCGTGGCCCTAGACTTTGATCGCGACCTCATCTGCTGGCCCAGCAGAACGTGAAGCCTCTGACAATCCCTCTCCAATCTCGGTTAAGGTCTGCTGTCTATTTGGCCATGAGTCAAAATCCAGTGCCCCCAGTGAACATCCCAATCCCCACTAAAATAGACTAAAATGGTTGGTGCACCTACCCCAAAATGGTACCATTGGTTTTGACCCACAGCCATTTGCAAACGCAGAAGAAGTTGCCTATTGTTTGCCATGCGTGTGTCCTGGTCGCTGGAAAAGCAGACCCGCATTCAGGGTGTGACACAGCCTTGTTTCATGCGGGTTCCCGTCAAGCTGTGACATGTACGTCCGTGTGCCATTGCCAGAAGGTTGAATTCACGCCCCTATCGTCGTCAAAGAGCACCTGCCACCCACCAAGATTAGAGGAGTCTGTCAATTGGGCTGGTAGGGACTATTCACCATCAAGATACTGCGTTCCATGCAAAACACAAAACAAGTTTCCTGTCATGACAACTGTTCGGTTCCCGGATCCGGTCCAACCGGCTCCGCTCACGCATGTTGCGATGTCTTGAGGCTCAGTGTGTGCAAAAACGCACCGAAAGGTCAAACGTGTTTTTGTTTGGTTGTGAAAACAAAAAAAAACAGTGGCTGACTTTGATCACCCCCAGAAACAGCGTAATGGGCCAAGTTCTTGCAGCCTCACGTGGCATTCTTGAGAATCCGGGCCGACGTCCTTTGGCCTGACAGATCTAACGGGTTACGCATAGTAGCCAGACACAGCGGCATAGTCTTGGACACTTTGAGCCTTTCTGTAATACCAAAGTGGCCCGACTGCAAGACTACGTTGTCCCTTCCAGAACAAAGCACGATGTGACAATTGAAACCCCATGTTTGTTATCCCCGTGTCCTTCCTCATTGGCTTGAACTGGTTTCAACTCGTCGTTGATCTTCCCCTTGTAAACCAGTCTTAGTCCTGTAGTCTTCCCAGAATATTGTGCACTCTTCCCCTAGTCTGTTCCATTGACTTGTAGCAAGACTCGCCTATGCTGCGCCGCATTCAGTTGGCAAAACATGGCCAAACAAAGCATTGTTGGTTCAGCTAGTCACGTCGTTATCGCCTGACTATCGGTTTGATGTCGATTCGATCCACTATGCATTTTCTTCGAGAAATGTGTGCGCGATCAGTTTGCGGTGGTCTTTCATCATTCTACTCTCTTCTGGGCCTTAAGGCGTGCCAATAGCAAACATGTGTGTTTTGGTTCCTCCCTGACCCTGTCTGTGCTGGCCCGTGAATTTGCCAGAGTTTACATTTGCAGCGGCATGTTGGATACGTGAGGTGAATGAATCCCGGGTGATAAGCCAACAGTTGCGTCTGTGAGAAGCAAGCTCCATGCTTCTTGAATAATGAAGAGCTTAATATGATGCTGGCAACCTCGTCGCTGCGTCACGTCGTGCAATATGAATATGCTTTGCTTTATCTTCTTTCACTCCTTTGGCCTGGCTATGGTCGGACTGACTTTCGTGCGGTGCAAACGCACGCGTGTTTGCAAACAAATACACAAGCAAACAACCGAGGTCAAGGATTCGGATATCACGTTGATACCAAGCTTGCCCCTGCCTAATCCCAAGCTCTCAATTCGTTTCCGAGATCGTGCAACCGAACCACACGGAAACCAACATACTAGTCTCATTTTTGGGGGAGTCCCGTTTTGGGTTCCAGGTTCAAGTCGTGAATTTCTGGAGGGCATCTAGAGGTTTTAAAGGGAAACCAAGAGGAAGCCAACGCATTTTCGGGAACCCGCTTAATCCTGGGGATTTTGGGCATATCCTGGGTGGGATTTGCTGTTTGGGGTCCTTGTTTGCCCTGTACGGGCGACTGGCAGGGTACCTGTAAATAGGGGGGTGTCTTTTTGGAGTTGGTACCCAATTGTTCTTAAGGAAAAAGCAACAGAAGAACCGGTCCAAGTTCCTGTCTTGACTGGGAGAACCTCTCAAAACGTGTTTGAACGGAAACCAACAGCAAAACCGAACCCGTTTCTGGGGCTCCGATTCAAGCACTCCCCGTCCTCGCGAGAAGTCTGCCACTGCTTGGCCCAGCGGTCCGCCATGCCCACGGGCGCCGCCGTCTCCGCCGATTCGGTGGGTCGTTTGAGGCACTTCTCTTTGGCCCAAAGTCTGAAACCAAATTGGAACTTCTTCCCAAAGTCACCAACATGGCCTCAATTCAAGCGCAAAGTCCAGCAATATCAGTCCGAGATACCCATGGCGGGCATTGGGAACATCAACTGCCACCTTCGATTCTGTTGGCGTTGAAGCACAACACGGATCGGTCAACGCATCACATCTCTTCACTGCCGCAATTCGGAGACGGCGGAATTTGGGGTTTCCGCTTTCCAATGTTCTACCCGAGTTTGGTCATTTTTTGGATGGCTGCGCAGTGTTCCCATTTATTGTTCCCCTTCCACAAAAAAGAACTCACATTACACTCCCCTGCAAATCAACATGGAACCCGAAAATGGGCTCCCCCAAAAGATTCCTCTGACAAATGGTGGGTTTGGGGGTTGTCAGCAGATGTGCCCGGGGCCCGCGCCAAGAGTTCGACCGTGGGCTGCACCTTCGCAGCGTGGTTCAGGCAAAGCAAAGCCTCGGCCGGGTTGGGTGCGGTGCGGTGCGGTGCGGTGCGGTGCGGTGCGGTGCGGTGCGGTGGGGTGGGGTGGTGTGGTGTGGTGTGTGGTGTGGTGTGGTGTGGTGTGGTGTGGTGTGGGGTGGTGTGGTGTGGTGTGTGGTGTGGTGTGGTGTGGTGTGGTGTGGTGTGGGGTGGTGTGGGGTGGGGTGGGGTGGGGTGGGGTGGGGTGGGGTGGGGTGGGGGTGGACTTGGCCAACGCACAAAATTCCGTAAAACTAGGTCAAATTGTTTTCACGGTTTTCGAGGCTTCAGCCAGGGTATATGGGCGTGTCTCTTTTTTGCAGTAAGAACACGTGGCGGAAAGTAAGATATGTTACTTGCGGACCTGGGTTCGGTTCTTTTGAGGCTGCCCTTTTGGGGTGGTGAAATATGGGACACCAAAAGGAAGACCACTATAACTGGGGTCCAACTTCCTATTTTGACACATGTATGGGAGAACCCCTCGAATTGTGCTTGATGGGAAGCCCAAAGGACATGGAATGGCCATTTTCGGACATGGACCGATTCCTATGTTGAGAAACAATTGGCCTTCAAGCAGCCCAGCACATTTGGCACGTCAGCATTTGGGTGAACCAACGAGACCTCACAAAATACACGTTGAATCCCTAAAAAGGTGGTTCCGGGGTGGGGTGGTCCAAGAAAGTTCCCTAAGGCTCCCGAAAACCCCGGAACTCAAGGGCTCTCAACTACCCCCCGAAGGAACCTTCTGTCTAGCGATTCCATCTGTGGCTCACAAAATGGAATCATCAGAATGAACATCACCTTGGTATATCGAAACAAAAACCTGAACTTTTTTTTCCGTAACCCTAGGGCTTGAATTTCCAGCCACACCCACAAAAGCACAAACCACTTGCCTGTGTACGGAAGGAGGATACAGAAGGATCCTGGTCTCAGCTGACAATCGTCCATGCCAGCCTTGAAGTGGTCCTAGAATCCTCCCTCATCCCAGTTTGTCCATGAATCCCTGCCACTTCAATGTCTGAAAACACGTTCTTCTTCTTGCTTCTGTTGCCTCGACATGTGCCGCTTGAATGTGACGCTAGCATGAGGCCAAATAACCTGGCAAGCTTTGGTTCGATCCAGGGTGCTTTTGACGCCTGTTCGGCCAAATGGGACACCTACACTTTGGAACGGGCCAAGCATTGTCCGTGGTCCAGGAGGCCCTGCCCACATCTGACGCTCGTAGACGGTGGCGTTGGCCGACTTGTCCACACGCCACAGCTTCTCCTTGCAGTCCTGAATTCAACCCTGCAAAAATAAAGTGTCAAAAATACTTATTGGACTCCCAAAAAAAGTGTTCATTTTGGTTTCCCTTTGAACAAGAACTGGCTCATGAAACCCTGAAGGCAAGTCGCCGCTTCCAAAGACGGCCTCAAAGGATTGTGTCAACTATTTACTGCTGGGGTCATCAAAATCAGGGCCCTTTGGTATCCCTCTAAAAGGCGGCACAAGGGCGCAACCAGGGTCCGGAAAAGGGGGCATATCTTTCACAAGCCCCGAAACACTGCCCGGTTGCTCTTGAAAGCCAGCGAGTTCGTTTTGGGCTTAAAACTGCGCATGGCACGCGAGTGAACTGAGGTGCGAACCTCTGGAAAAGTGCCACGCAGCTGCACGATGAGAGTCCCTGGCCTCAGGTTGCTGCCTCTACCTGGAGTCTCCATGACCCTTCAAAGATGGCTCCATGACCCCATTGTTTTGGGTAATGACTGACCTCATGTTTTGAGGGTCAGGAGACTCCAGGTAGAAACTTGACTCCTGATGGCGGCTTGGTGAATCTGGACAACCGGGTCGAGGTCCGTCAGTTCAAGTGCTGGTTTGGCGCTGCAGGACCTGCCGAGGGGCTTCCGAAAGTCTGCCCCTTCTGAGAAAAGGAATAGAGAAACTCAGATTGCCTACCCGAACCTCTCGTGACAGGGGTGATGCGAGGCAAGCGATTTCAATCCTGGCACCCATCGTTGCCTCACACTTGTCAAAATCACCCCGCACTTGGTATTTCTGCCGCAAACAACCCTGGTGTCCGACTCTGATAAGCACCAGAAACTGTCAAATTACATTTTTCCACAGATCTTCTGACTGCCCCGCGAGCTGAGTTCAGAACCGAATATCACTGATGGTGCCCTCTGCAAGCTTGTCCTGCTTCAGGCGCTCAAGATAAAGGCTTGCCGACTTTTAAGACGCAGCCAAAGCAAGGTGAGTGCCTAGCCAGAACATGCACAGCATCAAAAGGCTGCACACGGCTACAATACCAGGCCGGTGTACAGCCAACGAACATGCCAGGGAAGTTGGACTTGGACACAATTGAAACATGATCTTGCGGAACTTGTGGCTTTGCAGCACAACATGACGCTTGCAGCAAGCCGGGATGGTGCCAACACCTCTACCCTCAAAATAAACAAGCATGAAAGCTGCCAGCAAGGTGCGACAAAGACTAGTTTCCTTTCGGGGACCTCCTTGCCCATTTCCAGGATTCCTGGAAAGCAAGAAAACAAAAGCAGCTCGTGACAGAACCCAATAGAACATCGGAAGCTCCTGCAGCGGATCCGTGCCCGAAATGGTCACGGAGTCACCCCTGCGGAAGGCGCTTGTCCACCCTGCCCTATGCCGGCCGACCCGTCCACTCACAAACCATCAAGAAGCAAGGTGACACTTGCCAGCTGTTGGCAAACGCTTTTCAAACTTCATAGACTTGCCGTGTTTCAGCCAGCTAAGCTATTTGTTGACAAGCTCTGAGCACAATGATAATTTCAGAAGTTCAACAACACCGCCAAAATAAGCCGTTTACCTTGAAGATTTGCAAAAGCTCGCATCTAAAATGACTGGCCCCGTTAATCCGTCCCCGAGTCTCCGTCCGCCTTCTGATGCGCATTCTGTCCATGTCCATGCTGCCCATGGGAAGCTGAAGGGCTGCCATCCTTCGCTGGTTTAAAAACTTCCATGGCTTCTGCACAAAGCCCAAAATCTTAGCTTGGTCTTCCAAGGAGCTTGAATCGGATTTGAAGGATTCTTACCTTGGTTTTCTTGGTCGTCCAAGGATCCTTCTTGAGTTTGATCTTGGTTTCAAACGGAAAAGAAACAGCCCAAGGCCTGCTTGGCCTGCTTTCTTTACCATGGATCAAGTTCACTGCCCTGCAAATTCACATGTGCACCTGGGTTGTCAAAATGGAGGGGCTCACAAGCAAAGCCTTTCTTCCTTTTTGTTTCCCCTTGAAACGCCCATGTGTTGCCTAAAAAGGGAGTCCAATTCCCAAGAAGGAGCTTCCTCTCAAATGATGTGTTGGGTTCCACTCTGGTGAATTCGTTCTTTAAGCAACGCAAGTTGGACCATTGGCAATGGGGATGCAAACTGCGGACATCCAGGAAGCCACGGGCCAATTGTGAACGCCACGGGATGAGATAAGATTTGCCCCAAGCCAACGGGCTTAGCGATTGGGCAGGTCCAGTTAAAATCGAAGACGTGGCTCTCTGTACTGCCTTAGTTCAACGCCCAGTTGAGTGCCAGATGAACCGCCGGAACTGAAAGTCTGAGTCTTCATCGAACCGCATGGTCAGGAGCGCCTGCTATGAAACTGGCCAAACGCAGGTCCAACGTGGGAGCACAGAATCAAAAGTTATATATTCTATTATCTAGAGATGGATTTGTACAATCTTGTACCCACGTTCACATCTTGCACGCGTGAATCATAGATATTACGGTCCCCAGCAAAACTTGGTTTCAGAAGTGCACACTGCCGACGAACTCAATGGCCGCTGGCACCGAATTCGTCTTGAGCTGAAATGGACTTCCGCAGTATGATCTTGGTGCATTTGTGAGTGAGAGCTTCTGCAGCATAGTTCTATCAATGCGGTGCGCAGCATTCGTCAATGAATAACACATCATCTCTTAGGCGAGCAAGGAGCAGCCTACATGGTGCACGCTACTTGCAAGCCAAGTGTCTCTGTGCCAGTGTCCTCCCAGCCCGGCAGGATGCGGTTTTGGCGACCGCCCGCCTGCGAAGCGGAAGGGCGAGATCGAGCAAAGAACCACTGCCACGGAACTGACAAGCAACCCAAACACTGCCAATTTGGCGGAAAGGCTCCCCAAAGTGTCCGTCCAGGGCACTCGTCGCGGCTACGACTGCTAGTTCTTGTGTGCTCATGTGCCTGCGCGCCAGGCCCATGGAGTTGAAGATTCGGCTAGCCAAAGGTTAGCTGGCATCTCAAACAGGCCACACACGGATTCTTCGTATCAGACTCTGCAGTTCTCGTCTCCCGCCTCTTTCCGGCCGAAGGTGCTCAAGAGCTTGAGACCGCTGAGAGCATAGCCCCATCGGACCAGCTGATCTGCGCTGCTCCTGAGTTGCACTTCCAGGCAATGGAACTCACTGAAGGCTTTGAGCCACACGCCAAACCAGCAGAAAGAAACACCAAGCTTAATTGAACTGCTCTTGCAGCAACAAAAACAAATCATTGTTTATACGTTGTAAGCCAGTCACCGTCCCACAAGCGCACACACGCACATTGGCAAAACAAGCAGCAGGTCCTCTCTCGCCGCCGCTTGATGCTGCTCACGTCTGCTAAATGCTCCAGGTGTGCGAGTACAACCTGGTCAAACCCCTCGCAAGGCTCCAAAGACTCTGGAAGCGCAGAAACTTGGTCTCTGGTTTTGCAAAGGTTGAGAAACACCTCTTTTATTCTACTTCCCCCGAAATAAGTGACACAGCCTGCCAAGCAACTTAACATCTGGCCAAAAACAAGACAAAACCAAAACGCTTGGATCATGAGGCTCGGACCACCCTAGTTCTCCCTGAATCAAGGCAAGCACTTGAGCTGACTTGAGATGCTGAAAGCCACACCTCATGGACGAAATCCAGTTGAAGCATGAAGCCTATGGCGACCACCAAGCTGGCTTAGCAGATGTCTATGAGTGCTTCCGTCAGTTCAAAAAAGCCTACAACTCACATACCTTTCTGACGCAAGATCTTGCAAATGGATACCATACCTGCATTCAAGGTCTCGTTTGACAGTGGGGCCAAGACGCTTAAGTGAATAGTTCGGTGGCAAACTAACTAACAAAAATGCATGCAGCATGAAACATCGGGTTGCTCTTGGTGGAACATGGTCCAAACCAGACCAGTCCCTTTCACGTTCCATACTTGTTGAGAGGTTTATGGCCGACGCACCGCTTCATGGCTCCCTCTGCGTGCAATGTTTCTCGACCTGTATCACGTGTTTTTTTGTTGTGTGTGTAAACGCTTGGCACTTTCAACATGACTTGAGCCATTGAAGGCTCGGCAAATACACATTTGTGAGTCTTGAGGTCAACGAAAGAGTGAATCAATCCCCAGAACTTCCACGGTGATTCGCCTTAGCCGGGACATTGCACCTCTCAGATCTCCGTTGGAAAGACAACTCAGCTGCCCACAAAGTGGCCAAAGTACTCGGCCACCTAAGCGCAATGCTCACAGCCCAAGAAGTGCTTCGGCGGCAAAGATCAGCTGACGCGAGCTCGAAAAAACAGCCCAGCTGGCAAGCCCCGAGCCCCATGTTTCGACATTGCACACTAACCCAACAAAACCTCCATGCCGCACCGGAAACTGCCAGAATCATTCGGCATGGGGGTCTGTCTCTTTTGAGGGTACCGTGTCTGTGTGTGTGTGTGCGGTTTTTTGTTGGGAGGGCGGGGGTGAAAGGAACACCACAAGGAAAACCACCACTTTGGGTGTCCACCAAAAACACACCCATGGTGTATCTGTGTTTGAACCCTTGGGAGGACTTGTTTTTGGGAACTTGTCATTGAACACCAAATCCAGTTTGGGGGTCCCCCGTAAGACACCCCCATATTCTGAGTCAGTGCCGCAATGCTAGCCCTTGCGGTGTTGCCAATCACCCGCAAACTACCCTGAAACATGTGAAAGCATCCCAACAACCCATACTCTTCCTGGCATATGGGTGTGGCTCAAAATTAACCAGGAGGGGCAAGCCGCGGGCTTTGGTACCCACGTTTCCACCTGGGGCAACCCATTTTTGGGATTCCATGCTGGTGTCTGAGCCGCCGATCCATATCTGACTCCACTCTGGTCTCGCCGCTGGGTGCCCGGGCGCAGGGATCTGGGCAGCTGATGTGCCCCCGGAGCTGCTTCAGGTCGAGGCACTCCAGGGCCTCGATCGAAGCAAGCCGAACGAGGGAAGCTCCCGTGGGGGGGGGGGGGGGGGGGGGGGGGGGGGGTTGGTACACCGAAGAAGTCGTATCAGATGTTGTTTTTGTTAATGATTATTTTTTTGTGGTGTACAGAGTATGAAATAGTTTGGAAGGAGACCCGAGAAAACCTCGAATTTACTGTAAGTTACAATGATTTGTGGTTGATATGGTTGCGCACTTGCATGTTTTGCACCGACCGTCTGTGCAAATGAGGGCGTTTGCGCGGAAGAAGGCAACATACCAGCATGAACCAAGGAAGACCCTGGTCTCAAGCCCAAGCCATCCCAAACCGTTTCTTGACCTCGATTTTATCTTAGTTCATGGGTGTATAGTTGTACCAAACACCTCTGCGTGTTCAAAAGTTCTTTCAAAGGAACAAGGTTGAAACATGTGCAGAATCAACCCTCTAGAAACACATACCAGTGCCGGCAAATGTGCAAGAAATCACAGCCGAGTGGTTGAACCATAATTATCATTTGGAATAGCACTGCGATGAACTGCAAATCTGACCTCTAGCCAGAGCAGCAAACTAGATTGGATAGATTATCATTTTGCAGTGCTAAATGGATCATCTTTGGATTTGGCAAAACGGCTTCATATGCCTGGCTCGGACTGTATGTTTGCTTCCCGCCTCTTTCGCAAGCCGAGCGTCAGCTTTGGACCTAAGTGAAACTTGGTAGCCAAGAATGCAACTTCGGGAAATGGAAAAGCGGACTAAAACCTGCCGTCCCCTGGTGATTTAAGTTGACCCATACCCATACCCAAGCAATTAGCTATTACCCCGACAATATGTGACAGCTCTGTTCGATAAGCACGTTTCCACGCTGGAACTTGGCATGCCTGAACGACATGCCGCTGCAACCAGCTGGAAAGCAATGCCCGAAACTCAAAATAAGCCTGCCTTTCAAGCAGTTGCCCCCTCACCTCAAAGCGCACAAGTATCACTAGCGAACAGCAACACTGTTGCCAAAAGCAAATGTCATGCCAACCGTTGAGCACTGCAACCAGCGTCTAATTGTTTCCCGTGTTAACTATACAATGGCAAGCAATGTAGCACAATTGTAGCACACCCTCCTCTCCAGCGGAAAAGCAAAGATATGAAACCGCCACATGCAAAACCACTGACACAAAACTCAACTCACTGTTGAAGCTGTTGCCAGAAGCAAGCATGAACATCTGACCCGCAACACCATGGGTGTGTCTTGTCTTTCATGGTACCCTTTTGAGGGTTGGTTGATGTTTTTGGTTGGTTGATGTTGTTTGTTGGGGGGGTACCCTGACAAAACACGAGCCACCCACATGTGTTCATCCGGTAGGATTCACGCTGAGCTAAGTCAACCTGGGGGGGCTGTCCAATGATAGTGTATCATCCCCCACATTGGATGCACAAGTCTTTCCCGTTCCCCGACCATGACACCCATCCTGGGCGAGTGTTTTTTTTTTCTTTTTTCTTTTTTCTGAGGGTACCTTTAGTACCTGTTCACCTCAGTTTGCACCTCTCTTTTTTTTCTCGAAACGTGCAGCCATTCTGGGGCTCCAAATCCCACCTTGGCTTCCCCACCCGCCCGGACCTGCGCTTGCATGGGACAAATGAGATGATGCCCTCTACTCTCACCCAGCACTCTGGAGCTTTTTCGGCATCAACACAATTGCAGCTCAGCCATGGCCCCTGAATGCCCGGGAAAATTTGTTGAAGCAATGTCAATGTCCTCAATCCCCAATGCCGCCGCAAACATCACACTGACAAGTTCAGCAGTCCTCGAGCTATCCAGCTAAATTCAAGGACAAGTCCCTGCGTTGCTGGCCGATCTGTCCCCCAGCCTCCCTCCCCCCCTCCTGGCTGTGTCTGCTTCTGCACCTTCTGTGCAGGTGGCTCCTCACATCGACACTGCAGAACACTCTCACGCACACTTGTGTTTGTTTTCTCTCTCTCGCACATATAGCCATAGAGCCATGGGTCAAAATCCCGTACCCCCAGTGAACATCCCAATCCCCACTAAGATAGACTAAAATGGGTGGTGCACCTACCCCAAAATGGTTCCATTGGTTTTCACCCACAGCCATGTACACACACACAGTGTCACACACACACACACACCAATCAACCAATACACATCACACACACACACACCCGGAATCAGTCCTCCGGAGCAGCTCTGGGAGTGATGCCGACCTTTCAGGGAGACAAACTATATCCTCTCACAGTAGCCAAATAATACAGCTCAGACGTGCTCGTAAGAAATGTGGCAACTCAGTAGGAATGCCATGCAAACCCCTGCAATCCACGTGGCAATTACTCCACGCGTCGCCCCGCATGAAATGGTCTACATGTCTTTCTCAAAGTCTCTCCCAGCCTGCTTGTGCAGAAAGCCACCAGGGTCGCTTACTTTGCTGCCGTCCTCCTTCACTGCCTCCCGGTATGCTCTCAACACAGGAAAGGATGAGCGATTGCCACAGGTTTGTTCGTAAGAGCTAGCTCAACTGCAAATGAACTTGACAGGATGCGACGCACCGTAGCAGTGGTCTGGAAAACGCCCTGCACATGTGCGGTCAGTCAAGATCAGATGTCAGATCTTTCTGGACTGATTGTAGTGTACAACTGGCAACCATGTGGCTGGAGTGTTTGTTGGGTCCATGTTATATCAATAGAAGCAACTTCATCAGCAAAATGTAAAACTATTGAGATAAGCCAACTCAAGAACCAGTGTTTAAGGGCAGCCAAGAGACAAACCGTAGGCTCCTTCTACAATTAGCTTGTGTGTGGGATTCCCAACTCTCCCTTCTAAAGAGTGCGGAACAAGGAGAAACTCCACGGACCTCAAGTCTCCAAGCTGCACGGCCTCAACATGGAAGCCTAAGGTGCATATAAAATAGTAGTCTTCCTTGGCAAGCACCATCAGTGTTGCCCAGCCTGCTCAAAACCATAAAACCCGTGTGTGTGTGTGTGTTTGTCTGTGTCGATATGAGTTTATGTGTCTGTTTGCCTTCCATCTTTTCGGTTAGCGCCGGCGCCGCAAGGCCATGTCCCCCCTTCCAACCTGCCAGCCGAGGCATGGTGGAGAGCGCGCCTTCCGGCTGTGGCTGTCCGTCCGTCAGGAACTGACACAGCTTGGAGATACTTCGGGCTTCTTTCCAAGCTATGGAACATTGGACCTTCAAAGCTGGTTTCCTATGCAACAAGTTTTCTCCCTAGACACACAAGACGACGTGCTTTGACAGCGAGCTTGTTTCCGCTTTGACAGACCGCCCGCCATAAAACCGAAGCCCAAAACGAGCTTGGCCTCGCGGGAGTTGGTCATCAACCATCGGCCCTTGAGACCTTTGCTGATGGCCTCAGTGGAGGAGTCCTTGCCAGGGTGCTCCTCAATATCCTCATGGCATGGGTGTTTCTCAAAATAGCTGCGCTGCGCCTACAAGTGGCTGGTTGTCCGTTTAGGTTTCCTTTGAACCAGCAAAGGGGGGGTCCTGGATCTTGGAGGCGAACTTGACGAACTGCCCAAACAAAACTTTAACGAGGCATACTACAAAATCTACCAAAAACGCCCCCTGTTGGCTATTAAATATGTGGCTTGAGCTAACCTGTTGGTACATGTTAAATTCACTTCTTGAACAGCCTTGTTGCTTCCCAAACAAAGAAACAAACAAGCAAACACACAAACAAACAAACAAACAAACAAGCAAACAAACAATCAAACAAACAAACAAACATGAGCGGTTGTTTAAGTTAATCATTCTGGTTGAACCCAACCCTGGCTATGGCATCTCGGCAAACAAGGTCCCTGGGGTGCCCAGGCCCAGCCCAGATCCGAGCTGTACACCAGGATGCGCTTCCGATCCTGCGGTTGACTCTGGGGGTACTAGCACTGCTTGGCTTGTCAAGTTTGGCGTGTTGTTGGCCCCCAATCGCTGGAGTTGGCAAGGTGCAAGACTGAAACACATCGACTCCACACCTCTCGCTGAATATCTCTCAGACCTAAAGGATCGATAGGTGTTCACAGTTTGTATTCGTGCTGAAAATCAAATTCAAGCGAGCTTTTCCCCTTTTGGTCCAAATCAGATTTCTGTTCTCATTGAGCTTGCCTTGGGACACCTGCAAAGTCAGCCTTTCTGCCTCCCAACAACATTG